CATGTTTTACCATCGGACTGCATGTAGTCTTTTTATATTATTTTATTTTTTTTATTTAGATTGAATGTGTTTGCAATCAGTTCTTGAATATTTTGGGACGAATTTCTCTTAAGAAAATTTCTAGGCCACCCTTCTAGGGCCGGTTCGTATCCTCCTTTTCAGAAAGTATATATTTCTAAGGAAGCGGTATACATAATGTAACTTGGTTTGGTTTAGCATTTATAATTTTTTTGACTTAAATCCCAAAAAAAAAAAAAATCTAACTGTTATAAATTGATAAATTTTATTTTGAAAAAAAATATAAGTGCTTATAAATAATATAATCAATTATAATTTTCTAAAATGCATTTCTCACTAAACAATGCAGGAATGTTTTTTTTCTGGGTTTAGTAATCAATTACGATAAAAATAATCACTTGTTATGGTTTTAAAATAATATAATTGATTTTATAGAGCAATATCATCAATTATTTTTTGCAATAAAATTTGTGCCCAAAACTCATTTTCTTAGACCAAGTTCTTCTAAAAGTGTGGCTTCTTTGGATTATTTTTCTGAGATCTATAATAATCAAATAGACTCTAATATTAATTTAATGTATTTTAAAAAATTAATTTTTTAATATTAAAATTTAAAAGACAAGAGGGTGCTTATCAACAATTATCATCTATAAAGATTTATTGTGAAACAATTTAAAAGCCTTTCACCATAAAAACAAACAGTGTATCAATTTTGTCCTTTTCTTCTGACAAGAAATAATCAGGTACTATTAAGATCAAAAAGTTTTGATAAAGAAGATTTATTTACTAATTTTTGGGAAATATAAAGAAAATTCAGTAACTCAACTTCTTTTTTTTCATAATTGTAAATTGATATGAATTGATATCTTAAAATTTCTCATTATTTTAATTCTATTAAAAATTTATTTTCACTTCCCGCATTCTAGAGTTATGAAAGCTAGTGTAAACCATGCAACTAGGTATAAAGAAGAAGACTGAAAATTGTGTTCGGCCAAGTTGGTTACAGAGTAGCAAGAGAAATCATTTGAAAAGCAGGCTTAATGAACCCAATCTACTGTACTTGATTTCAATTTCTTGTGAAGGTGCATGATTTTTCTTGTTCATGGGGTAAGAAAAACAGAAAAAGACAATTGGATTTTTACTGTATCCGATCGGTCTTGCACTACAAGATTATTTATTGCGCGAATGGCGAATTGGCGCACTACTCTTTGTCCGGTGAGTGGATGACGGGATTTTTATTGCGTGAGGGCAAAGCAACTTGACATTGCGAGCATTACTCTCTTTCTCTGCTCAAGGGGACACTTTTAGCGAACAGTTCCCATGGCAGCAACACTATAAAGGAGGAGCCTTCCATCATATTCTTCAACAATTTCCTTTCTGACTTGAAACACACTATTTCAGTGAGAGAAAACATTGGCCATGATCACTTCCATTTTCACTTATTTTCTTCTTCTATTTCTCGTTCACTTATTTTCTAATGGATTTATATCCCTCCAAGCAAGCGAATTTGTTTCCTATTCAACCAACTTCACAACTTGCTGGGAGATAGAGAGAAATGCACTTCTCAAGTTCAAAGAAGGTCTCCAAGATCCTTCAGGCCGGCTTTCTTCTTGGGTTGGCAATTATTGTTGTACATGGTCAGGTGTTGGCTGCGATAGGCAAACGGGACATGTCACGAAGCTTGACCTCGGTATGCCGCCCATCAGTTTTAAAATTAATGATCCAAAAGCTTTTGATTTTCCATCCTTACAAGGTACGATAAGTCCTTCATTGCTTGATTTGAAATATTTATACTACTTGGATCTAAGCTGGAACAATTTTGAACAAACTCCAATCCCCAACTTCATTGGTTCATTCACCAAGTTAGAACACCTTGATCTCTCTTATGCATATTTTAGTGGCTTGGTTCCTCCCCATCTTGGAAATTTGTCAAACTTGCGTTACCTTGATCTCTCCTCACAAAACTTAGATCAAGATACTTTGGTTTCTGATTTGAGTTGGATCCATGGACTCTCTTCGTTGGAACTTCTCAGATTAAAGATGGCAAACCTTAGTTTTGCTTCAACCAGTTGGTTGCAAGCTATAAACAAGCTTCCTTCCTTGATGGAGTTAGATTTATCTTTCTGTGGACTCCATGAAATCCCTACCTCTCTTCCAATTTTGAACTTCAGTTCCATTCAGATCATTCATCTTTCATTAAATCATTTCAATTCACCATTACCTGGTTGGTTGTTCAATATCAGTTCTCTTGTTGAGCTTGACTTGTCTTCTAATGGCTTTACTGGACAAATAACTCCATCTGTACAAAATCTTAATAACATGAGGGATCTTGTACTGCATGAAAATGATCTCTCGGGTCCGCTTCCAATTTCTATTGGAAACTTATCATCCTTGGAGACATTATTTCTCTCTTCCAACCAATTGAATGGAACAATTCCTAAAACCATTGGACAATTGAAGAAGTTGATTATGCTAGCTCTTAGTTCTAATAACTGGGGAGGTGTCGTGTCTAGAATTCATTTTCTCCACCTAAACAATATGAAGGTTTTTCTATTATCCTCCATCAAAGAAAAGTCACTAGTATTTGATGTGGGATATGACTGGATTCCTCCTTTCAGTCTAAATTTAATCTTCATTAAAAATTGTCAAATGAATTCCAAATTTCCTATATGGCTACAAACTCAGAAGGAACTGAAGATTGTTGAGCTTATTGAGGTCGGAATTTCAGGTTATGTACCTGATTGGTTCTGGAAACTGAGTCCACAAATGGAGACGTTATCTCTTCACAATAACAAATTGTGTGGAGAGCTTCCAAGATCCTTACAATTTCATCCACATTCTTTGGTAGACCTCAGTTTCAATTTATTTGAAGGACCAGTTCCACTATTTTCTGGTGTCAACATGCTCAGTTTGAAAAACAACTCACTCTCAGGACCAATTCCAGCAAATTTTGTCAATGCCATGCTACATTTAGCATTTATGGATCTTTCTGAGAACTACTTCAATGGCAGCATTCCTTCTTCAATAAATAAGTTGGAGAAGTTACAAGTTCTATTGCTAGAAAATAATGAACTTTCTGGAAAGATTCCTTCAATGAATAGATTGAACAAGTTATGGACATTAGACCTTTCAAATAACAATTTATTTGGCAACATTCCATGCTCCTTGTGCTCACAGTCACCTCTTATTCATTTGAAATTGAATGGCAACAATTTTTATGGAAAGCTTTCATCCTTGCGAAACTGCACAAACTTAGGGACACTTGGTCTTGCAAATAATCAATTTCATGGAGGCATTCCAAGATGGATTGGAGAAACTCTATCTTGTTTATCAATACTACAGTTACGAGGAAACATGTTTAGGGGAAAGATACCAAAAAGTTTGTGCAGTCTTCCTTTACTCCATGTTATGGATCTAGGGCAGAATAATTTTTCAGGATCAATTCCACCATGTCTAGGCAATTTAAGTAGCCTGTATCAGTCGAAAAATGATACTTCTGTATTTGCTGCTGTTGCTACTGATGCTGTTGCTACTAATGTTATTACTATTGCCACTACTGTTGCCACTATTGTTACTGGTGGTAAGGAGGGTGTTGTTGCTGCTGCTATTGCTTTTGAGGGGCTTATGCCTCTCATTGATGAAATGCGGGACATGGAATTTAATGTTAAAGGACAAACACTTGAATTTGTTAAGATAATTGATCTCGTGAATTTGATAGATTTATCAAGTAATAATCTTGAAGGGGAAATTCCAGAGGAGATAATGAAGCTTTCTGCCTTGGGTACATTGAACTTATCTCGGAATCAATTGACAGGAAACATCCCTGAGAAGATTGGAGACTTGCAGTTGTTAGAAACTCTTGACCTCTCAGTCAACCATCTTTCAGGTCCGATTCCAGCAAGCATATCGTCCATGACCTTGTTAAGCCATTTGAATTTGTCTTATAATGATTTGTCTGGACCAATCCCATTAGCAAACCAATTCCAAACCTTCAATGATCCATCCATTTATGAAGGAAACCCAAAACTTTGTGGA